TAGATAGATAGATAGATAGATAGATAGATCGATCGATCATACATGAGTGTATTTTTGTGGAGGGGTCAGAGGTTGATGCTGATTGGTTAGTGTCTCTTTGAGGACTTCCTTCTGCTTCATATTTTCCATATCATACTAAAACATACACAAACACACAAAAACATATTTTTTTTCCACTTCTGATAGATTAATAAACACATATTATATGTTAAAGTTTACAGTTCATTTTTGTCTTTTTATTGCCAATATGATTTATAAATGTAGTGCGGATACCTCTTTATAAACTTCAGTCAAGAAGCCCCACTTCCTGGGCCAGGCTTCATCAGAATCCTTCTCAAACTTTATGTGTGCTTTCCTAAACATAAACACAACAAACACAAACAAACAAAGAGGATTTGTAAAATCAAATCTGAAATTTCAGAGCTTCAAACATTTTTACAGCTAGAATAAGTTTTGAACATCCGTCAGTTTTGTTGTTTTCAAAATCAAAAGTTAAACGATTTACTACATTTTTATATCTGAAAGACATAAAAGTAAAAACAAAAGTTTCTTTTTACCAGATTTCATCTTGATGCACAAAGTTGGTGCGTTTGGATGTTTGCTTTGAGTCCGCCATCCATCCACAGTGAGTGAGTGTGAGTGAGTGTGAGTGTGTGTGAGTGTGTGTGAGTGTGTGGGTGTGTGTGGGTGCGAGGGTAATGTTTCACCTGTGCAGGTCACGCTGACAGACCTGTTTACCATTGTCATGGAGACAAACCCTGATGCCTTCTTTCCATCCTGTTTGTGTAGCCGGGGCGACGGCATGATGAAACTTCAGGTTCACTCACATATAACAAGGAATCTGGTGAAAAATTAATGAAGTAACGAGCAGCTGCAGGAAGTCTGATCATAAACAAAATATCAGACTGTTGTTGATTTAAAGAAGACGAGGGTTTGACCAAAGGTTTGGTTCATGTTTAGCAGGGCCAATCAGATGCCTTATTGATTAATATAGGCTGGGCTTTACCATTTAAAGTCACGTCACATTGTATTTAACTCTTTGCTTCAAATATTCCAGATTTTGACACATCAGTCTAGAACATTTGTGTTTTTCGGCAAAGTTGTGTTGCTTTTTGTCAGCAACTCCTTCATAAATACTTCTGACAGCAGCAGAGGTTTAATTGTGGTTAAGCAGGATGTGGTTTGATGTTTGCTGAATAAAATACCTGTCCCCTCCTGTGGAAGCTGCTGGTTCTGGTGCTGCTTTTAGAACTGAAAGTCCGTGGTTCCAGTTCTGGTTAGGTCAAGCCTAAACTCAGAGTGTGTCAGAGTGGTGGATCAGAACAAAAAAAAATTTTTAATAAAAAAAATACAATAAATAAATGAATAAAAATAAATAAATAAAAAAACAGAACTGGAACATTTTATAACACAAAATGAGTTCTGTAACTCTTCTTCTGGTCCACCAGATGTCCCTAACAGTCACTAAACTTTATATTATGTTATGTTATGTTGTGTTGTGTTATGTTATGTTATGTTATGTTACATTACGTTGCGTTACGTCACGTCAAGTCACATTATTATGTTACGTTACGTTATGTTACGTTATGTTATGTTATATTACGTCACGTCACGTCACGTCACATTATTATGTTATGTTATATTATGTTATGTTACGTTACGTTACGTTACGTTTTGT